TATCTATATTTTAAAATCGCTTTTTGAGTATGTTCCACGATTCACAATTCTACAAAATTTTAACAGTCTATAAGACTGTTTGAATAATAAAAAGCAAAGAAAAAAAATTCACTCCCAAGTGCCCACAAACAATGCATCTCTACCTTAAAGATATCATTACAAAATGAACAAATCTGAGAGAGGTCCACATTTGGTACCTATATATGTAATATCAAAGCAATTGGACTTGCGGTTTTTGACAAGAAGTTGAAAATATCACTTTTTACCAAAGATGACAAAAATATTCACCAAAATTAGAGAATTGAAGATATCATCATGAAATGAACAAATCTAAAAGAGGTCTACCCAAGGTACATATACACCAAGTAGCAAAGCATTCAGGCTTGTAGTTTTCAAGAAGTTGAAAAAGTAAAACATTGACACGGACGACGACGACGGACAATCACTCATATGATAAGCTCCGCTCGACAAAGTCGACAGCAGAGCTAAAAATTGCAGGAAAATTTGGTTAAGAAAGTCTGGCGGTGAAAAGGTTAAAGCGAAAAAATCCGAGGATGGAGAACAAACATGATTTATCCTGACTTGATCACCTGTAGTAACAACTTACGTGATGTCTTAGATGCAAGAACTGTTATTTTAGGCCCAGCAAAGAGCTGAAAACCGAGAGCATTGCCAGGACCTCCAGCATTCTCACCCAGTAATTCTGAAAACAGACATAGATATATTAGAACGATGTGACAATGATCTGAAACAACCTCACAACAGCTATAACCAATTTCCCTCTTAATTCTTTCCTCTTGTTAAAAATCCCAAGGCGCAAATTAGCATGGCATGAATAGACCATTTTCCGTTCACTGCGAGAATCACGCGTTATGCGTGAAATCGAACGTAAAAACAGGACAAACAAAGGTCATAGTGTCGTAGTGGCGTCAAACATCGCGTGGGATTCGACTAACGCGAAGTATTTTGGGGGACATTTCCATGTTTAATAATGTGCTGTCCACATTTGATGATAGGCAATTTTGATTAAGTAAGGGTATTCGGAAGCAATATCCTC